ACCCATTTTTTGTAAATTTCTCAAATTCTGCGATTTCAGAATTTTTGTTTGGAAGTTTATTTTCAAGTGATTAGTTTTTCACGGAAGTTTTTATAGTGAATTAAAATCTGAAACTTTATCTCTTTTATCGAACAAGATTGCCATCCAAAAAAGAAAATTTATTAAGGCAAATTTTACAGGGTGTTTTTCTTTTTTTTCCATCCGGCGGAGAAGAAAATTTCTTTAGTCAAGTTTTATAGGATGTTTTTTTTATTTTCCTTGAAGGCAAATTTTACCGGGTGTTTTTTTTTTTTTTATTTAATTTATGGCAAAGCAATATAAACTTTCTTTTTTTTGTTAGGCAAGTTCTTTTTTTTTTTTTTTTTTTTTTTTTTTTCAGGCAAGTTTTACAGGGTACTGTTCTTTTTTTTTTAAAAAAAAATTTAATTTATGGCAGAAGCAACAGAAACTTTTACTTTTTCCTCATGTTGTTATATTTCCATTTTATTTGATTCATATTCATTTTTATTAATTAATTTTTTTAGATTTTTTATATAATTTTTGAGCCATATATATATATATTTTTACGGTAGAAAAGACAAAAAATTTCTACCGGAAAATATTACCATCAGGAGCACGAGCAGAAGTCCGTCTTCTAATAAATTTTACATGTTGTTGTTGTTTTTTTTTTTTTTTTTAAATTTAATTTAGGGCTCCAATAAATTTTTGTATAATTTAAGTTTTTCAATAAATAATTTTTAGAAAGAATAATCCCTAATCCAATATTTTTTTACCATCCACCATAGGAATTTTTTTAAAGAAAATTTCATCTATATTTAATATTTAATAAATTTTCATGATGAGTTATCAAATTTGGTAACAAATATTTATCTTCTTCCTACAATATATACTATTTTTATTAATTTTAATTTTAATTTTATTTTGAATAGATGGATAACAACCAAGAATAATCTCTAATCCAGTATTTTTTTACAATCCACAGTAGTAGGAATTTTTTTAAAGAATATTTTATCTATATTTAATATTTAATATATTCATGGATGAGTTATCTAATTTTGTAACAAATATTTATCTTCTTCCTACATTATATTATTTTTTTTTATTAATTTTAATTTTAATTTTATTTTGACTAGATGGATAACAATCAATTTGTAGAAAGAATAACCCAATATTTTTTTTACAATCCACAGTATGATTTTTAAAGAATATTTTTCTATATTTAATATTTAATAAATTTTCATGGATGAGTTATCTAATTTGGTAACAAATATTTATCTTGTACCTATAATATATATTATTTTTATTAATTTTAATTTTAATTTTATTTTGAATAGATGAATAACAATCAATTTGTAGAAAGAATAATCTCTAACCTAATATTTTTTTACAATCCACAGTAGGAATTTTTTTGAAAGAATATTTCATCTATATTTAATATTTAATAAATTTTCATGGGTGAGTTATCTGTAACAAATATTTATCTTCTTCCTACAATATATATTATTTTTATTAATTTTAATTTTAATTTTATTTTGAATAGATGGATAACAATCAAGTTTTGAAAAAACTTGCTCGGTTGAGATGTCGAAGACAAATACGAATGAAACAAAACAATAGGACCAGACATTCTGAACTGAGAGCTATTGTTCAGAATATTGATTCGGAATTTCATTCAATTTGTGCTGCTTATAACATTACGAATGAAAGTATTTTATATCCTAATCCACAAAGAAGCGGGAGGGGACAAAGACGAACGCGTGGTTCAAATCGACAATCACTCAATCGAAGGGAAAATAGTATGAATTAATAATGTGTTATGCATTAAAATAATATTTTATTTATTATGTCGTATGTATAATTTTTTCATTTTTTTTATTAGATTATTAATTTCAAAATAGTATTTTTAATTAAAATCTATATTGTATAAGTTAATAATATGTTGTATATATATTTACAGGTACAAATGATAATCCACAGAAGCACGAGGGTTCAAAGACGAACTCGTGGTACAAATCCATAATCACACAATCGGAGACAACATGGTATGAATTACGTTATCAATTATTATTTATTACTTTCTACTTATTATACAGATAATAAATATTTCTATTCTTATTAGATGAAAATATTGTACCACTTTCAGTTGAAGAACATCAACAAGAAAATACAAATTTGGTGATCGGAGATAATATTGTTGATCAAGGTAATAATATATTAAATATATTTATCATATTTATGTATTTTTTTTAAAAATCTATATTGTATAGGTTAGTAATATATTGCATTCATGTAATTTATCGTGCATTCAAAATTATTTTAAATAATACTACTATTATATTATAATCTTATATTCAATTAAGAAATAAAAGTAAAATGCTACAGAATTAAATATTTACTTCATAATTGGACGGAGATAGTATCATTCATTGATATTATTTTATTTTTTTATATTGATTAAAAATATATATAATATATAAAGAAATTACTATTAAACAAAAAAATATGATTATAATTTTTTTCGTTGATTTCACCGTGCGCAGCACGGGCATTCCGCTAGTATGTTCAAATTCTATAATGACAAAGTGTCAAACAAATACAAACTCTAAGTTTGAATTTGAAAGTATCCAAAATCACATTCAAAATCAATTTGAACCCTCTTTGGGTGTGTTTGTTTGAAGGATTTTGGAGGATTTCCACTATTCATCCAATTTTTTTCCCCAAAAACATCAAATCAAATACCTATTTTTCATTTTTTATATTATACTAAAAATCAATTTTACATTCAAAACATCACATCAAACCCTATTTATATCACATCATACAACTATTCAAATTCAAAAATTTTACTATTCAAATCCCAATCCAAAATCCAAACCCCCAAACAAACACACCCAAATCTCTTCGGGGCATCCCAAGTCAATGATTGCACCAATTCTCCACTATTAATGCTGTTCATCGAACCTTTTCTTCTTCTTCTTCTTCGGCATGGTTCGTCTTCGAATTTTTTCGGAATTGCTTCTTCTCGGCATTGTTTTTCTTCGAACTTCTTCACCGATCTGTTGCAGTGTCTTCTTTATTGATTTTCTAATATTTATTTGATAATTTATTATTTTTTTGTAAATTTAAATTTCAAATTTCATGTTAAATTTTTCATTGTTAACTGATTTTTTGTTATACTCACATCTCAACTTGATACAAACACGATATGAAAGCACCAATGCACAAGCCCTATACAAAATGTGGGTACGGACAATGTATACTGTGTATAAGGGTTTTAAAATTAAGCCCGAATCGAAAAATCGAACACGTTCAACCGAAAAATTTAATTTCAGATTCAAGTTCGGTGTTTCAGGTTACTAAATAATCAGATTAACTTGAACAAAAAAAAAAAAAAAAAGATCGGATCAAGCCGAGTTTCAAGTTGACTTAATACACCAAAATATAGAAATTAGGTAATCGGATACTCTGAAATCCAAATTTTACTTGATTTTAACTTGATTTTATAATTAAAAATATTATATATTTATCTCAAATTATAATATATTACAAAATAAAATAATATAAAAAATCAATATACTTATTATAAAAAAAATCACATTTTCGGATTTGTTTTATATTAGCTTTTTTAGATAAATTTTAAAATTTCAGGCTTTCTGTCTATTTCGTATCAGACTCTTCTGATTGGTTTCAATTACGAGGTGACTTGAAATAAAATTAGATTGACTTGAACTTTGACCCAAAATATTCATATTGTGTTAAAATTTAGGATTGACAATCAAGTTCGAATCGTATTCGGCTTGGCAGATTTTTTGGCATACTGATAACTTAACCCGACACAAATATGACCAAAAAACACAAATTGACACCCTAACTGTGTAAATATTTATTTACATCGTTTCCATATGGTTGTAACTATCATTATTCTATTATTGATATATGTATTTTTTTTCCTTTTCTTTAAAGAATCATGTTAACTGTTTTATTGATTTTTTTACATAATTTTTAGGAAAATTGCAAAAATTGTCCATTAAGTGCGCCCAATTAGACACGTATTTTCAGTTTCACAAAGTAGGACAATATCTCTTTCGCGGATTTTATTTTTATCCTCCAGTGCTGGAAAATGTCATGTCCCGGTCACGTGCGCTTACGTGGACCTGCAGCTACGGACTTGTACCCTGCCGGTGCTGACATGTGAGATGATATGACTCTGTTGGCGACAAGTGATGTGACGGGTTTTTTTAAAAAATAAAATAATTCAATTAATTATTTAATTCTAATTTGGCCCGATTGGACCAAATTGGAATAAACAACAAATTTACCACAAATACTCCACTCCGGTCAATCCATCCCTCCCAATAGATACCTTAGAAGCCTAATCCCTTAATCGATCTGTAAATCTCTGATCTCATCAACCGCCGCTATGTACCGCCACCTCCTTCACTGATGGAGATCAAAACATTTGTGAGACAACGTGATTCTTTTCATCGACAATATAGTACAAGACGAACACTCATTACATTACCTGTGAAACATATGTAGAGAGAAACATGCTACGGGTGCGTTTTTTTCCAGTGGAAGGATCCTCCTATGTGTCCTCGAGCTAAGACTATTATCCCGGGGTTGTTGAAGAAGTTGAATGATCGAGAGGCCGAAATTATGACTTTGAAGCTACAACTTAAAAAATTGAAATTTTTTGTTGTTGTATGTTGCATTATTCTTGTTATCCCATGTGTTTTTATTGCATAAAATATTTATGTCCATGAATGCTTTGAAATAGATGATCGAAGGTAGTTGTTTGTTTATTCGGTTTAGTCACTTGAATTGATACTATCGTTAGGGCATAATATTTTGTATTTTGAATTAGCTGTAGCAGTAGTAACATCGTTAGCAAGGCATGTTTTGTATTTTGAATTGGCACCACCGTTTTAGGTAGTAACATTTTGTATTTCCAATTAGTAATATCGATAATGACAAATGACTCGGCATTGACATTTCCTGGTTAAGAAAGTAACATGACTCATTAGTGTCAATAATATATGTTACAAAATAGGACACCAAGTACAAAACATGTTCTAAATAGATACGATACTGAAGCATCTAGTCTAACCTAATTTGAGTGAAACCACACCCGATCAAAAAACACGAGGACCACACAATCCAACAACATTTAACGCTATTCATTTCAATCCACAATTACGTACCCACCCAATCACACAAATTGAAACACACATCATTTATTTTGTTTGGTTGATCGCATTGCCGTTGCTCCCATCCATATTCCATATCGCTTGTTGTATTCCCTATTCTCTTCAACAAGCCATGTCAATTGTTGTTGATGGACATACACTGGAAGCTCAAACAAAGGAACACCATCATAGTTTGGAGCATCTAATCTGTTGAGGTCGGGACATTTCAACCTGCTAAAACATTGTTGGTGGTTTTGTCTTTGTGCTATCAATATTTCTGACCAAGTCTTTGCTACCGTGTTGTGTCTGTAAAGCAAAACAAGATTTGTGGTGTTTACATCCTGATAAAATGACAACTGTAGGTATGCAAAATGGTGTTCAAAATTTGCAGATATTGAAAGAGTACTCACGCTTCGTCTTGTTTATATTGATGTGAGCTGCTCGCCAAAACTTTTTGCCTTGCCCTTCGGAGACTACTGCAGAAGTAGAATAAACACTAATCTTTAGTATTTGGTTCATTGCATATAAACAAAAGATTTGGCTAGACATTTATACCACCACCATTGCTGGATTTGGACCACTTTCAATAGATTGTTTCTCTCATCTGAGCAATGCATCGCGTGTCCTGATATTTCTCACATGAACATTAATATTTAGTACATGCAAAAGAGAATGAAATAGTTGGTTCAAAGTAATTATATTTCAAAGAAATGTGTTTAGATAAAAGTTCTTACGCTTTGCCTTGAGGACAACATTAAAAGTCCCTTCCCTTTTCGTGTTACAGGTTTGTCAACATTGTTCCCATCTATGTTGGCAGTAGACTCTTGTGTTACCAATTTGAATTGTCCCTCGGTACGTTTGCAGAACAATTTGCGATGACTATGCGAAAGTGTATAAAATATAGAAATCAACAATGTAACTTCCCCATTGGAAAATTATAAACATTTCTTACGGGTGTACTTTCATGTATTGAAGTCATTCTACACGGATACTCGAAAGTGGCTTCTTGTCCAGTACTGTATTCCCAGCAGTTTGGGAGGTGCATTTTCCTTGCTTTGGACACGTTCCTGCATTAACAAATGGAAAAAAAAGTCAAAATCAAAATAGCAAATGATGAGGAAACTTTCATCGGAATGGTATGCAAAAAAACCACTTACACTCTATCTTGGTCGGCTACCCACGTTCGTATGCGCATTCTTTTTGGAGGGCCCTTCATTTGTTACAAGCTGCTAAGTAAAGTCATCACTATCCACTTCTGCCCCTAGCACCATTGTCGATCGAGGATTAGTTTGCCTAATTGCATGTGCATAATCCCAATTCCAACCATGTTTTTGTGTCGCATCTCCTTCCAATTTTTTCAATGCCCTTTTCTTAGTCCTATAGGCTATATCCTTTGATATATTTACCAGTAGTTCATTTATTACATGGACTCTAAAATCTTTGACTGCTATTTTCTGGGTCTGACTTGAATTTCTTCGCGTACTTCACACTTAATCATTTTTTTTTTCATGCTGGACACCTTAAACCTCTATTCGCAAGTATGCTTATCATGAAAAATAGATATTTCGAAACCAATGTCATCGTCCATCACACATGCATGAATTTTCCAATTGCAGTTATTGTCTCCACAAACATTGTACAACCTTTTATTGTCCACTTTTGTGAAATTAACCTGCCTTATGTTCACAACAACGTAAGAGTTCACATTGTCCTTAAGCTTATCCCTACTCGAGAAAGCCATACCAATTTCAATTTTTTGTTTAAATAAATCAATTTCTTGGAAGCTAGGAAATGACTTCTCTTTTTTGCCCTCCTTGTCCGGCTCCATCAAATGCTCAAGCTCATTTTCCGTCTCCAACATATCCTCCTCGGACTTGTTTTCTGCGTCACCCTCACACTCAACCTCCTCCATTTCACCCAGCTTATCCCTTTGCCCTGCCCCTTTTACCTCTATTCCACATTTCCTAACTAATTCCTACTCCCCTCCCAACTCATCATTACTCTCTTCGGACACGTCGCCAACATACTCATCAAACAAGAAATCATGACTTTCATCAGACTGTGAACTCATGAGGAAATCACTATCAGATTCAGACACTTCATCAACTACAACTTTTTCATGTACTTCCAACCCATCTACTATCTCAACAAATTCATCAAACATGATACCATTATAGTCATCGGATTCTGACTCAATATAATCACTATCTGACTCGGAGACATCATCACTATTTATCCCCTCCCTTATATTTACAAATACTACAAATTCCCTATCATTTTCCGTTAACTTTTCTATTATTGCTTGCCTAAGACTCTAATCTTCTACAACTAAACTAAACCTCTCATCTCTAAAAACATAAAAATTCAGCCTATTATTTTTTGAAACACCACAATTGATGCATACTTAAGTAGACAAGATATATCAAGACAATTTATCTTGGTGGGGTCAAACAATGTCTTCTTGCTCCCTCACGTATTTTGCTGTAGGAGTTAAGAACATCTGGCCTTCATAACATAATGTCACTATCACTTTGATGTGTGTAGGTAGCCCATCGCCTATAACATCGCAAGAAGGTCTTAAAATAACACAAAATACAACTGTTTTGAATTGTAAAACTTTACGTTTGAGACCACAATAGAAAACAAATTTATTTGAGTATTCTTTTCACTGAAAGAGACAAAATTAAATACACGATATCATGGCATGCAAAGCACGAAGAAGGCTATGATGCACACATATTTTTAACCCCATTCAACTATAAATATGAAAGTAAAAAAAAGACGAACATTACTGGATTGTATGGTCATTTCTCGCGATTGCTCGATCAGGAGTTCTCACACCAGAACTCACTACCTACAAAATGGTGTAATGTAGGTCTTTCTTTCTGGGTTTCTTTGCCTTACGGCGAGTGCCACGACAGTGAACAGAACTGTGAATCGACGGAGGACTTAGGGTTCTTGGGGGATTTCGAAAATAAAATAAGAAAATATTGATTTATGTGGATCGAATGGGAGGGATGGATCGATCGGAGTGGAGTCTTTGTAGTAAATTTGTCATTTAATATTCCAATTTGCTCCAATTGGGCCAAATTGGATTTTAAAAACATTAATCATTTTTTTTAATTTTCTTTTTAAAAACCCGCCACGTCACTCGCCACCGATAGAGGCACATCATTTCACATGTCAGCATCGGCAGGGTACACATCCGTAATGGCCGGTCCACGTAAGCGCACATGATATTTTTTGGCGCTGGAGGACAAAAATAAGGTTGGGCAAAGAGATATTGTCATACTTTTGTGAAACTGAAGAATACGTGTCCAAAAATGATAATTGGACCCACATAATGAGTAATTTTTGTAATTTTTCCTAATTTTTACCCTAATATTAAACTCCCTCGGTCCTAACAGTCTTATTTTTATCATTTTTGGCTGTTCTATTTAAAATGATCATTTTTCTATTGTAGTAAAAATAATTATATACTAATATAAAAATATTTTTAATTTTTATATAAATTTTTAAATATACTATTATATATATAAATAAAGTACAAAGGACAAAAATATCACAATCATTTTATAATACTTCTACTATCGATAACATATTATTAATTTTTAATCTAAAGGAAAAATTAAAAAAGGTACGTTTATTTAAGATGAATGAAGTATTAAATATTTTGTATTATCAAATGAAAAAATATTTTAAATTTTGCTATTTTTAAAATACAATAAATAATATTGATATTTGAATCGAAAACCTTGTGTTGATTTGTGTTATGTTATTTTGGGTTATAATATATAGAAAGTTATGCTCTACTCGTGAGTCACGTGGAAATTTCTAGGCGAAACTCTACAAGAGTGACGGTCAATTTGGAGATGTATTTGAATAGAGACGTGTTGGGATTGATTTGGTAGGCCAATTGATAATTAAAGCATTAATAAGGTAGAGGTGGCTGTGACTCCTTTGTAGGGTCCAAACGATTAATAGTCCTTACTCTTGACCCAACGGGTAGGTAATGTCACCGTCGAAATTCAAAGGACTTTTTATTTTAGTATTTTTATATTTTAATATTTTCATTGTCAAATTATTGAAAATTATAAAAATATTATCTGAAATTTCGCTTTCACAGTCTGTGTTTGGTAGACGTGTTGGAAGCGTGAAAAATGTGAATTTTTCGATCGACTCAAAACAATATCCGGTTATAATATGATATATGAACAATAAATAAGGTAAATAAGACAGAAAAGCAAGAAAAAATTGTCAAAATTTAGCATAACCCCGAGAAAAATAAGATCAATTTTCATAAAATAAAGGAAGAAAGAAAAATACATTGCAAAAAAAATAAAAAAAAACAAAAAAGAAAAGAAAATACAAGAAAAAAAATAAAGAATAAAAAAAAAAATAGACAAGTTTGCCGCTAAAATAAATAATAATAATAAAAATATATTTCAAGCTCATTTTATAATATTTAAATTTCATGTGTCACACATTAGACAATTACACCTAAATTTCTATTCTTTCTATTCTTTCATTCACATGCATTTTATTTTTCTCCTCCGTATGGAGGAATGATCAATTAAGGCCATCCACAATGCAGAATCCCACCCAGATTTTCTTCTCGTTCTTTTGTTGTGCCACATTAGCTTCTCTTTCTTTCACGTCACGAAGAATACCAATTAAATTTTACATTCACATCAAAGAACCCTTTAAAATCTCTATTTTTTCCACCTCATTAAATATTGTATACATTTAGAAAATAATATTATAAGTTTTCATCATATTTTATCCTTATAATATTTAATAAAAATAAAATAATATTATTTAGCACGAATAAACAAAATAATAAAAACAATAATTTCACACTCACATAATAATTAAAAATTTAAGTTTAACAAAAAATACATAATATTGCAATATAATTTTCAAATAAATTAATTAGCCGATTGGCCAAACTTCTCTCAAATATGTTCAACTAAATCCGCTTTGAGCTGTTGCTGTGTTTCCCTAGCCCCTAGTCGGCTTCTATTCGGTAGGTATTGATCCATAGTTGCATATCTCGTATTGTTGTATGACCAATTCGAGTTATCATTCGTCTCCACTTGATCATATTGAGATGTATCGTAATAATCCAGATAAGTGTCCCTTTTATCTTCTACAATCATATTATGTAATATGATGCATGCTCTCATTATTTTACATAGTAAATTGATATCCCAAATAAGTGATAGAGCTTTAATGAAGGCAAACCAAGCTACCAAATTCACGCTTCACATATTTTCGAACCGCTTCTTGATGTTCCGCAAATAATTGTGCTTTATAATCTTGAGATAGACAAATTGATTGAACAAAGATTGCCTATGGAGGGTGAATTCCATCACAATCAACCTCTAGAGCTCTGACAATCAAAATGTTGTTAAATACTGGAGATCGATGAAATACATTAATTTCATTGCATGTACCTGGTGTGCTAAAATATGCATGTAAAATCTACAAATCGTATGCTGCTATAGCTTCCAATATAACTGTAGGTTTTCCATGATCTCTACATTCGAATTGCCCTTTCCAAGCAGTCGGACAATTTTCCCATTCACAGTGCTTACAATCAATACTTCCTAGCATGCCTGGAAAACCACGTGTCTCTGCACAAATAATAATAGTTGTATATCATCTGAATTTGGTCTTCGTAGGTATTCCTCACCAAATAGAGAACATATCATTTCAAAAAATTGCTTAAGATATGCCCTTGTAGTGCTCTCTCTAAGACAAAGATATTCGTCAACCATGTCAGTAGTTGTGCCATATGCCAATACACATATTGTTGTTGTGCCATATGCCAATACACATATTGTTGTTGTGCATTTTTGTAATGCTAACAATCCATCTCTTCTTGTAGCATCACGTCGTTGCTGAAAGAACTCCATTTTATTGGAGAGCAGATCTATGATGCGAAGAAAGACATGTTTTCTCATTCGGAACCTACGACGAAAATAAGAACTTGGATGCGCAGGGTTATCAGAAATGTAATCATTGAATAATCGAGTATGATCATCTCCAAGATTCCTCTCTATGTATGCTCTCCGTCGACGCCATTAGCTTCCCTCATCTTCATTGTTGATGTGCTCAATCTCTTTATACAATCGAGCATATGTTTCTTCCAATTGACACATATTTTCCAACTCTTCGTCGGATGAATCGGACAGAGATAAGGATGGGGTTGACATTTTTTGAGAGAAAATAAATGTGTTTTAAGATATGAAAGGTTGAACTATTGTGTATAAGAATTGTGTGTATGTGAATTGGTTACATATATAAATAAAAACTAGCCATTGGGGAATATAGTCATTGGGAATATAGTCGTTGAGAATATAGTCGTTGGAGAATATAGTCGATGCAATGTTTATTATAAATACACTACATTCTCACTTTATATCCTCTACACCATCTCTTTATATTTTTTTCTCTTCATTTTATTCTATCTATATTTTCTTCTAAATTTCCCACGAACGGATTCCAACTCTCAAAATTCTTCCAACTCTCAAGATCTCCATAATTATTTTTGATTTCCAAGTTTTATCAACATGTAAGGAAATCAACCCATGTTCCCTACATCTAATGTCCCATTTCAACCATTCAATCGTCCACCATATTATCACATTCCTCCAAATTTCTATCCTCTAAACTTTCAAGCATTCGGAAGTTCATCATCTTCTCAATTCATGATTGAAGCCACTGAAGCAGTGGACACCCCACGATATCGCATATCCATCAATTTAATAGATGATGATGTGCCTAACAATACAAAAAATAAAGATACGAGGAAGGTGTGGAGTTGGAACGAAGATGAACTTCTAATTAGGATGGTTGAACACTAGTAAAGATACTGTAACCAAAACTGACAACAAAGTAGTACTTTCTGGAAAAGAACCATATTGTATTTCATGGAGAACAAACCTGAAAGTGCAACAAGAAGAGGTGTTAATGTAAAAATTGTTGAGTAAGATATGTAAGTCCGTGCAAAAGTTTGTTGGGTGTTATGAGGAGACTAATCGAAAAATACGCAATGAACAATCAAGTACGGATATCCTCAATGCAGCAAAGAAGATATATTCAAATGACGGTAAGAGCAAAGACTTTATCCACAAAGATGCTTGGTATATACTCAGAAATGAGCCCAAATGGAAGACCAATTACTGCAAATCATCTCATAATAGTGGTGGAAGTTCAAAGCAAACAAAAACAAGTGAAGACGGTTGTTACTCAAGTTCGTGTCCGGCGACACCATACATTGATGTGGATGACCCAACTCCTCCTACTCCTCCTCTGGTATAAAAGCAAATAAGAAGAGGGAGAAACAAGTGAAAAACGAGGGGCATTCAATTTATGTTCTACTGAAAATTATGGAAAATTTTACAAAAAAATAGTATATTTAACTCAAGTATGGAACATATGACAACAGTGAAGGAACAAAGTTTTAAGCAACAATCTGAGAAAATACAAGCACTTCTGAAAGCTAAATGGTTGGACAAAGTGACAAAAAATATTGATTGGGAAGCTAAACAAATAGAACTTATTTCAAAGAAGATAGATATGCTTCATAATGTTAATGGCCAAATGTGATCATCTGACTGAATTTGAAGAAGGATTGGAACAAAAGTTGGCACGCAAATTTTTTCTTAGGTTTGCTTTCAAATTTATTAGTACTTTTTTTATATATTTTCATTTATTATATGTATTGTCTGTTATTTTAATTAAGTCACATAGATTTGCATTTAAATTTATGTTTAAATATAATCTTTAAATCAAAAAAATTATTATAAATATAATATATATAATTTTAATATTTTTAAATAATAAAGAAGACATACTTGGCCCACTCCAACCGGCATGAAGACATACATACTCGCAGTGTGCGACGCTTGATGTCAAAAGACTTTATATATATATATATATAATAATAATAAATGCTGAAGTGGGGGGTGCTTAATTGGAAGCGCCCCTTCGTAATACATCCAACGGC